TTTTTTTTTTTTTTTTTTTTTTTTTTTTTTTTTTTTTTTTTTTTTTTTTTTTTTTTTCCATCATTTCTTCGACACTTGGTTGATTCATCTTTCTCTTCGTACAGAGCGACAGAGACAGCGAAATCGACAAGAGCCACTCGGACATGGACAATACCGTTCACGAGAACGGCAACGACGCCCACGACAACAGCACGGCCGTCGTGGCTCCAACGACAGCCTCAAATTTGAGCACAGGAGCGTCGGTAACGACAGTGTCAACAGCAGAAGTAACAGCTCCGCTGAAAAAGGAGGTCCTGACCAATGGCCTACAGCACAAGAACGGCCATCAGGAGTACGATTCGGCCACTACAGCCACGACGAGCTCGCCCGAGCCCGAGGAGTACACGTACGAGGGTGCCATCCGGGGCTACGTGTCGCGCGTCTCCCAGAACATACCCAGGCGCTCGCTCGTCGACCTCGACGCCAAGCTCGACGGCCGATCGGCCGAGACCAAGGGCAGTGCTGCCGCCACCGCCGCAGTACCGATCGTCAAGGTAGACATACTCAAGCGGCGCGAGGTCTTTGAGAAGACGAGCCTCGTCGAGAACAAGAACAGCCTCAACAACAACAACAACAGGCTGGACTTTGCCAGTGGCAAGTCGATCAAGGAGCGGCTGTCTATTCTCGAGCGACAAAAGGCGGAGAGCGAGGCAATGGAGAAACTCAACAAGAGCCCGAGGCACTCGCTCGACAACCCGAGCGTACGGGAGCGCTTCAAGCTCAACGCCGAGAGCGGCAAGGAGGTGAAGACGCGCGACTTGCTGGCCGAGGAACTCGAGTCGGTGAAGCCGCTCAGGGAGCGACTCTCGAATCTTGAGAAACTTGCAGCTGGCGAACAGTCCTCGAACCCTCAACAACACGCAAACGGCGAGCTCAGTGCCAAGTCGATCAAGGACAGACTAAACTCGCTGGACGCGAGCCGAACAGCCAAGGACGCCGATGGCAAGCGCCCCTCGAATTGTTTCCACGACCAGGTTTGTACTTGTCGCTATCATTATGAGAATATTTGATTTATTGATGAATCGTAATGTTGAAAATCATCAGCAGACGAATAATCGAGCGGAGAACTCGACGCCGAGCGAACGTAGCTCCTCGCCCGACTCTGAGTACCGAGTGCCGCGAGCCACCTTCCACCAGAGCCTCGACTCGCTCGACGCTGACGCTTCGAGCGGGCCCGACACGTTCGAGCGCGTCCAGAGTCTCGAGGAGCTGGACTACCAGCAAACCAGCCGGCGCTACCCGGCCTCGACGTCCTCGGCCGAGATCCTCAACGACACGGATCGCGAGGACTCGGGCATACACACGGCCGACGCCAGCTGCTCGGTCAGCCAGGCTGACGAACCGATCGAGGAGGAGGGTCACGCTGTCGCGGAGAAACAGCAGCAACATCCGATTATCGCCGAGGAGAAGACAGAGTTCAGGGGTACGATCGAGCTGACCACGCTCGTCGAGAGCTCGAATGATCCAGAGAGTGTCGAGGAGAAGATTGCTGGGCTGACGCTGGACGCCCAGCCGCGCAACGCAGTGCTGTCAGAAACGGTGAGTCGGTGTGACCTGCCCTTGTCTGTTTTTGTCTGTTTTTCAATGGTCTATCAGTATAAGTGTAAATAGAGAGAAATAACAAATGGGACGTATTTTTACGCGCAAACGGTCAAGTCAGAAGTACGATTTTTATATTTTTAATCCGCTCAAACGGAAGCTCAGCTTTGGTACTTCTGACTTCATTTTCTGTGTACTTATAGTAAACAAGATCGGTATGCTTGGTACTTGGTTTAATGGTGTAAAATAATACAGTCCGAACTTCCTCGTCCTCCAATGGTTATGGGTCGTCCAAATTGTACATGAATGCCTTTTTTTTCTTTCGATTGCTCAACAGGGCACCGCTGAAATTTCTTGCTCCTCTTCTACCTCTACTTCTGGGGAACTGCCGCTACTACTACCCGCTAACAGTAAACTCGAGTCGCGGACTAACACTATCACACCACAACTTACCTACTGCCCTTTTTCCTCCTCGTCGCGTCCCGTCGTCTACCAGAGTCCTCGAGTCCCGCCTCGAAGATCACCCCCCGAAGTCACGAAACCTTCCCACCTTCCCGTACTGTCGCCCACAGCTGCGGTGTCGATGGTCGAACCCGCCAAGGACGACAGTCTCTCCGAGAGCCTATCGACCCCCGACTCCTCTTCCACCAACACGATCTGTTCTCTCAACTTCTCCGCGGAGCCCGAGATCAAGAACCTTCAGACAATCTCGTCCGGCTCGCTCAGTCCGGCTAGCCCAGACTCCAAAGTGTCCTCTCCTCTGCCCTCGCCTCGCTCTCCATCCAAGATTCCGACGCCCCTCCCGAGAAAGTCTCTCCCGACTTCGCCCACGTCCCCGACCTCCAGCTCACCCAGCTCGCCCAAGTTCCCCCTCCCGCCATCCCCGTCCAAGCCACGTACACTCCCATCACGAACCACGCAGATGGCCTCCGAGATCCCGGTGCCGGTGAAGGTGGTCAACTCTCCCCCAACGCCGTCCTCGCCTTCGTCCTCGACCCCCTCCTCGTCATCGCCAGCTAGTCCGCTGAAAGGCATCCCGACGACGACGACGACGACCAAGTGCTTGTCACCGGATCCTAGACGACGTACAGTGGTGGAGGTGTGCGAGAGGGTGGTAGTGGCGCCGGGCCGGGCTCCGATAGCGACGCCCTTCATCACCGTCGAGCGACTCGGGCCGAGCGACAACAACAGCGACGAGGTCAGAGCCAGCGACGAGCAGCTCAGCTCTGCTCTCAAGAAATCCTAAGATTTTTTTCTTATTTTTCTCTTCATCTTCGACATATGCTCTGTTTCTGGCTTGTGATCTCAAATGCACAGGGAGACAGTCGCCAACGTAGTGACTAACGGTGGTGGTGGTGGTGCGTGTTTTTTTATGCTAGTGAAAAAAAAAAAAAAAAAAAATTCCAGGATGTACAAAGACTTTTATTTTAATACGTACACTGATTTGGTGCTGGTAACTAATACTTTTCATTCGTTTGGCATGACAATTCTAAATCTGGCGCTGTCTCTGCATCGAACCGTTAATCGAGAGAGAGTAGCTTGAGATCTTGAGATCACAAGACCAATTGTGAAAATAATAGACGACAATGTATTCGAAAAGTCCATACTTCATGTCTACAGTAGCAGCTGCTTCGAAGCGAACGCTGAGACGTAAATAAGGGGGAGAGCTTCGAGTCGTCGAAACCCCATAGTAAAGTGCTTTAAAAAACGAATGAGGAAATCTCGTGTTTTGACGAACGACGCCGATTCCAGAGCTTTCCTCGCGCTACGTATCCCCTGTAGCGCGCAAACCAAGTTTGATGTAGAAAAATCACAGAGAGACAGAGATAAGTGCGAGGAAAGCTCGAAAAAAAAAAATAATAATAAAAATAATGGTGTATGCGTGCGAGCGACAACATACACACAACGACACTTTGTAAATAAACGATGAAGAAAAAAAAAATACGATGGCGACAGCTCGAGCTTTACGCGAGTTGATGCACACGCTGTTGCGCAACAACACTGAACGAGAGCGACGGCGTGTCTCGCTTTAATTTATTTGCTCCCCGCGTCTCTCTCGCGTAGTGTGTACAACACACGTAGGGACAAGATGCACACGAAGACGAACTGTAAATAAGTAAGCGAGTAAAGTCTCTTTCCTCGATTGTCTTCGTTTTTATTTTATTTTTTTTTCTCTCCTTTTTCGGTTACTATTTTTTTTCTTCTCATTTCTTCTGCCTCTGTCTTCCTGTATGATTTTCCAGCACAAGGCTCCTTACGTACGTCATTCAAAAATCCATACTACTATGTTATATTTCAGAAGGAAGCACCGCGTATGTTACAATTATCATTATTATTATTATCGTAGTGCTAGTCACGTAGTCAATTACACGCGTTATACAAAATGGCCAGAATTTTTTTTCTTTTTTTTTTTTTTTTAACGCAACGTAGAGACAAGAGAACATGTATAGCTTTACTCACATGTGTACGACTGTTTAGGTAGCCAAGTGGAATTAGTTGCTTGTTTATAAAAAATAAAAAAATATACATATTTTCACGATTTGGTTATTGAACGATGGAGTTAATGATAATAATAAATTGATATCCTTACGTATTTATATGATATTAATCGCTTTTCAAGTTCAATCTATTACATGATATATTATTATTACATTAAAAAGTAAAGGTCGCATGAAAGACTGAATTTTTAAGTAATTTTTATCGAATCTTCAATCAGCTTTTTGGATAAACATTTACATTTATACAATTCAAAAGTGTGATAGTTTCCAAATCAAATACGATATTGCATTGAAAATTGTTTATTCTTTGATTAAATTGTTTTAAAGATTATTAAAAAAAAAAAATTATTTTTGGAAGTGTAACTATACGAAATTTACAAAGAGAAAACAGTCATTGAAGTAAAAAAAAAACATTCTTTACTGTGAGGAAGTAACAACAATAACAGCTAGTGACAATAACAACCGTTGAAACTTTGATTTTTTAAGTATTTACGCGTACACTTTCCGTACGTCAAAGGGAACCTTAGCTACACGGCAGATAAGATGAATAATAAAAATTTCGTATGATACGTGAAACAAACGCCTACACAGAAATAATTGACCTAAGATGTTAACGTATTGTGATACTTTTAAGATTATCTCGTATGCGTGGCACGTGAAATAATGCCTTTTGTTTCGCGAGTATGTCGTGAAAAATATACTTAGTTAAAGGAAGCAACTACCCTAGAAATATTATTATTATTATTATTATTATTATTATCATTACTATTATTACTATTATTATTATTATTATTATTATTACTATTATTACTATTATTATTATTATTATTATTACTATGCATAAGAAAAGAAACATGAATCGTATTGTGACAAATCTGTATTGAAATCTAAAATGATGCCTGTTCAAAAAATATTCGACTATGTTGTAGTATTTCAGAAGTTTAAAGTACAGACAAAAATATATGCAAACATTGCAAAAAGAAATTGTCATTTGAAATTCTTTGCAATCCCGATCTTAACTTTAACTTATGAGTATTTTTATGTGAAATGTTAATTACGATTCATAAAGTATTGCAACAGCCTCTTACTTTTGGTGTATACTTGTTAAGAAAAAACAAAAAACAAAAAAAAACTAGTCATCTCTCATAAAAAAAAAAGTAGCATCCAGGTAAACAAAAATAACCAAAAGCCAAAGTAAAGCAAATGAAAAGCTCGAACCAAAATCTCCAGTGTCTCCTCTGCCATTTTCTTCGAAAGGCCTGCGCTCCTACAGGTGTATATAGGCTACGTAAGCTTGGGTACATTCTATATCACAAGGTAAGGGTGACTTTTTTTCACTTTCTCCAGTCTTATGCTTCCATGCTTTTATCTCTAACACGCATTTTCTCATAGTAATTTTAAGCTTTGCATGCACGCTTTTGGGTGTATAATTGATTGCTTCGCTTGCCTGCAAATAAATTAACTTTAACTCGGCTAATCAACCATTAACAACGTTAATCGTGTAATCGCTCAATATTTCAAAAATCCAATACCTACCGTTTGAAGTTCAAGTGCACCTGCCGTATTTACATAACATAGTATCATCGTCGTCGTCGTTATCTTTGATTTTTTTTTTTCTGAGTCACCGTTTCCGAAAAACCTCGCCAAGATTCTTACAAGACACTTCACTCTGAACCCAAGATAAACTTATCACTCATCCCACAGGAATCCGATGGAAAAGACATAAGCAAAACACTTCTCTGACATAACAATCCAATTTCATTTTGATGCATTCCAAAAAAAAAAAAAAAAAAAAAAAAAAAAAAAAAAAAAAAAAAAA